CGGACCTGCACGCCTCCTGGTCCTGGAGACATACAGGTCCTGGAGTGATGGCAGCTTACAGCCGATCACCTTCTCAGCGGAGCGCACAGTGCGCTGCAGTTGGTATCTGTCCCTGGCGGTGGCGCCAGCGTACCACACGGTGATGGAGGAGGTGAGGATGGACTCAATGATGGAGGTGTAAAACTGCACCAACATCCGGGTTGGCAGCTTGAGTTTCCTCAGCTGCCGCAGAAAGAAGTACGTCATATGCTTCGTTGATCTGATTGGTTTATTTGGCCCGTCTATCACCAACATAGGCCAATCAGCTAACCAGTTTTTTCGCCCCTTCCCAAAATTACTTCAACGGAAGGTTTCCAGATGGATATGCGGAGCAAATCCATCTGGCGGAGTCAGGTTATTATATACTTTGGAAAGCCAAAAAAAGCCCCTGACATCCCTGGTTCCAGCAGATCCAGGAGTAATGGATGGATCATGGCCACCCTCCATGGAGAATCATGCAAGGGCGAAGGCATTCTCAGCAGGTAAGTAAGAACCTCTGCAGGGAGAGCACCTGAGCCGAGCCACTGTGGCAAGCCTTGCCCTCCACTGGAGCTAGAGCATAGAGGAGGAGAGCAGTGACTTCGAGAAGTCAGCCGGGCAGAGAGAACTCAAGAGAGGAGAAGAGGTGGTGGCTAACCGTGACTAGTTCTGGAGAATAACGGGAAGATAAAAGGGGCACAGCTGTACATCACAGAGTCACCAGCAGAGGGCATTAAGGTGGGGGGGGGGGATTGATGACAGCGGCTGATGGTGCCTCTGCTAGAGCTAATGGAGGAAGACGAATAATGAATGATTTACCAGTCCTTATGGAGATAAATTAAAACTTATTTTTCAAAAGACACCTCTCAAGAGCATTCCTTTCTTCATCCTTTATCAACATTCATTTTGCTATCTTCCATTTTTATTGAAACAAATCTTGCTGAGTTTCTTCACCATATATCACAATCATATTTAGTTCCTGATTGGCTGTCATGATGTGAAAATACAGCAGAGTTCAGATTTTTCAACACAACAAATTTTCAACAAATGTTGCAGGTAAAGAGGCAATATGGTCGCATTCCCCTTGATTCACCTCATGGTGCTCCTGAGGCACCCTCTACATAGGGTACAAGGCTGAGCCTTGTATCGGCGTGAAGCAGAACAACAAAACTACTGAATTGGTTTAGAGATAGAGTTCTCTGTCTTGGCCTGATTAAGATAAATTGCCGTTATTTGAGAGACACAAACCCTCTAACAGAAGCACGTAAAAAAAAAAACTGCTACCCTGAGTCTTCTGCTCAATACAGCTGAAAATCAAATGGATTGAAATGAGTTAATTCATCAAGGATGACAGCATTAGCACGCCTGGGAACACAGAATATGCTCACACTGACATGCATACACGTAAACAATCATCAGCCAAGATCTCTGACACTGAGTGATGAGCCGATTCATTATAAGTGTTACTGAGGAGGAATGCACCTCTGATGTTCTGTCATCACTGTTGCTTTGAGCATCTACTGGTAATCATAAACTCCTGGCTTATGATGCCTCAGAGGTGTAGCACACATGCATCCTGGCAGAGGCACAAGAATTTGCAACCTGATACACACAGGCAGGCAAGCAAAGAGATGCAGGATAAATAAGCCCTTATGCTCTCCACTGATAATGTGATCGCCTTCTTCCATCATTCTCTTACACACACAGACTATAGAGTTAGGTTTACAGGATATAGAGTGTTGGTCACTACTATTATGAGCACTCAAATCAAGCCTGCGGTTAGAATTATGGTCACTCTTATTCTTCCAATGAAATTAGCCTGCATCTCCAAAGCACCCCAATAAAGAAGAGAGAGTAGGGGCAGTCCATCTTCTCTAATTATCAAACATCTCACTTCCCTCAGGATCTAGCAGGTTTAATATACAAGCTTCAAACTTACAGAAACTCAATCATTGTTCTGAGTCTGGTTTCATTAATCCTATCCCTCCTCCTTTACAATAAGGTTCTTATTAAAATTTTATCTTTACCTGCAACTTTCTTACAAATGAGTTTGATACCAAAAGTGTCTTTCAACCCCTGCAGAGAGAAAAAGTTCCCATAGATTCATATTTTTTTTCTTTTTTGTAATATAAGGCTATTTCCGATTTTTGCTCTATAAAGGTAGATGCTTGCAGACAAAGGCGACAAGATAGCAAAGGAATTGTTTGTTAAAAAAAAACCAAAGTATTATCAAAAAAGGTTCTCAAGAAACCTAATAGGACAGGAGGGAGACTACACAGAGTTAAAGTAGGAGAAGTAATGAGCTTTCCCTTATTTCTAGTACAACTAGTATAACAACAAAAAATAGAAATTCCATCTTGCAGTAGAAGTTTAGCCATTTCACTGTTTATTTTTTCATACATTGCGCTGAGGGTCGACTAAGCTGAAACATTATTTATTTTAGTTACAATAATGAACCAGCGATTTTGTGATTTCAAGATTTGAGTGGCTCTCTGATTGACAAAAGGTGCACATGTAATCAAAGCAACATAGATGGATACAAATCTGTGTGTTCTACGGAAACGTCCTTTTCCTATTTCTAATGTGAATAGAAACCACTTAAAGACCACCCCCATACATGTTTAATACCTTGTACTGAATATGTTTGCTACATGTACTAGAAAAAAACAGATTCATATT